TTCTGTAAAGACACCACAGCCAAGGCGGCTTACAGAAGAGTTTATTGGGCTTACAGTTCCAGAGGGTGAGTGATGGCTGGGAGCATGGCCACAGGCAGGCAGGCAGGCATGGCGCTGGAGCAGTAGCTGGCTGCTTACATCTTTTCTGTAAGCAGGAGAGAGAGAGACAGACAGAGAGAAAGAGAGAGACAGTGGGAGAGAGAGAGAGAGAAGGGAAGGGGAGGGGAGAGGTGGGGAGGAGAGAGAGCACTAACTGGGTCTAGGCCCACTCCCAGTGACACACCTCCTCCAACAAGGCCACACCTCCTAATCCTAAACAGTTCCACCACCTGGGGAACCAGCATTCTAACAGATGTGCCTATGGGGGGCATTCTCGTGCCTATGGGGGGCATTCTCGTGCAACCCCCCCCCCCCGCAGAGTAAAATGATACAATGTATTTTCTTTGCTGTATAATTTACCTAGCAACTTAACCTTTGAGATAACCCATGAATCCACCCCTTCCTTCTCAAAACGTTACTGTATTACATCATGAAAGTGTTGCACAGTGAAGTAAGTTATGGACAGTGCACTGGCTGGTTTTGTGTGTCAACTTGACACAAGCTAGAGCCATCCAAGGAAGGAGCCTCAGTTGAAGAAATGCCTCCATGAGATCCAGCTGCAAGGCATTTACTTAATTAGTGATTGATGGGGGAGGGTCCAATCCATGGTGGATGGTGCCATCCCTGGGCTGGTCATCTTGGGTTCTATAAGAAACCAGGCTGAGCAAGCCTTGAGGAGCAAGCCAGTAAGCAGCACCCCTCCATGGCCTCTGCATCAGCTCCTGTCTCTGGTATCCTGCCCTATTAGAATTCCTGTCCTGACTTCCCTCAGGGATGAACAGCAATGTTTACATGTAAGCCAAATAAACCCTTTCCTCCCCAGCTTGCCTTTTGGTCATGGTATTTCGTCATAGCAATAGAAACCCTAACTAAGACAGGCTGTTTGTTTTCTTTGGTGTGGTATTTTGAGACAGGGCCTAGCTATAGAGCCCAGGCTGGCCTAGAACTCTCATCCTGCCTGGGCCCTTTGGTCCCTACACCAAACTAAGCTGTTGGTTCTTAACCTATAAACATTTGTCATTTTAGCAGATACTTCGAATCCCATTCCAAAGCAGCCATGCCGGTCCCTTCACACATTCTCTGTGGTTTTACTGTGACCTTGATTGAGCTGTGTCCTCATGCAAGCCTGCCCCCCCATGTACACACACACACACACACACACACACACACACACTCCATCTGTAGAAGCAGGAAGTTGGGTGGTGTAATGACTGGCTGTGTAGTCTAGAGTGGGCTGCAAAGACAGCCCTCCACAGACAGGAAGGAGGAGAAGACCATGACAGCCGCGCTGAAGGCAGGCAATTTAGATGCATTTAGTCCTGCTCTCAGCCCTTCTGCGAGCACAGTGGCAGTGCGTCCACAGTTCTCCACCTTCCCCCCTCCCCCAGAGTCCCCTCGGCAAGTCCTGGACACCCTTTGCTGGCAGAACTCACCCACTAAGGCCATTGGAGCTTGACAGAGATTGAGGTCATTTTTATTTTCTGAGACTCACAGCAAATTAAAAAAAAATGAAATGGCCAGAAAGGTTAGCAGAACCGTGCCCTGGAATCTGGCCACCGAACAAGTAAACACTCCTTAACAGACACGGAGCCCTATAATCACACTGGTCACAGATAATTACAAGATTCATAGACAATATTAATTCATAATGCACTGCAGATGGTGTAATCCGGGAATGGAGCACATACGGACGGCCGTAGGAAAAACAGCGTTCTTTATGCATAAGTGCCTTGGACAAGGCTAAATTTGGGCAACTTTCTAAACGTGAAGCAGGACACAAGCCCCGTTCTTCCTCTGGCCACTCAGCCCAGGTACTCGCTGGGGCAGGAGGGGCTTGTTGGGCAGCCCTCTGCAGCCGGCGCCCCGCTCTGAGCACCCGCCCTGGGTGCATTTTACAGGCTCTTAATTGTTCCAATCTAAGTCGTGCTCATGGACTGACCATTTGATCCTCAGTCTACGGCACCCTTTGGGGAGGTCTTGGAGCAGACAGGAGGTGGATCTGGGTGCAGGAAGCAGGCAGCGGAAGCGGGCTTTGACAGACTGATAGGCTGATTTTCACCCCCGTTTCCTGAGCCTGTATCTCACACTTCCATGTCCACCGTTTCTCCGTTGCCTTTCCGGCCATGATGGACTAAAAAGCCTTTGACCCGCGAGCCCAGAGGAGCCTTTCCTCCTCAAGCGGTTTCTGTCAGATGTTTCGGTCGCAGCCATGTGGAAGAACCCAGTATATCAATGGGAGCGGTTTGGGTTATTGTATTAAAAATTAAAAAAAGGAAAAAAGTTTTTTGTCTACTTCCGGAGTTGTGACGAGGGCTTAAGTGATAGAGGTGGGGACTCCGTGACCTGAGGAGTGGTTTCTGAGCCGGGAAACAGAGGTTCTGGGTGAGGTTCTCGGCCACCAACAGTAGAAGTGCGAGCTTAGGTGAAGGGCCAGGGGGTTCTGGGACCGGCCCGGGAGATGGATCCTGAGCAAAAATGAGGATTCTAGGCCATGACAGAGATGCATGCTGGGATTGGAAGCAGTAGGTTCGAGGACAGACACAGATGGGCTGTGGGCTGGCATCCCACCCCACGCTCCCAGAACGCCCATGCACCGTTCCTCCGAGCCCACGCTTCCCCGGGCGCTCGCAGCGCGGTGTCCCCAGGCCCAGCGGCTCAGTCGGCCCCTTTCCCTCCTGTGAGCTGGGCAGAACCGGCCGCGGCTGGCTAGACTGGGCCTCCCTGTGCTCCCTGTGGGCAGGCGCCAGGTCTGCAACAGCTCCAGTCGGCAGCGCCCAGGCGGGGCACGGAGCCGCGGATCTTCCAGGCTGTTCCATTTGCAATTTCATCCCACGTGTCCGCGGGGCCTCAGAAGTGTGTATGTGTGTATGTGTGTGTGTGTGTGCGCGCGCGCGGTGTGGGATCCATCACAGGCAAGAGGGGCAAGGGGAAGGACGCCGAGGGGAAGAGATGCTGGAGGGAGGACCGCGCGGAGGGGATGCGGGAGGAAGGACCCAGCTGGACCCAGGGCGGTGGAAACACGAAGACCCGGAGCCTGAGGCGCGCACCTGGCGCGCGGCGGCGGGGCGGGGTGGGGG